CATTTGGCTTTGAAGCAAAAAACATGTCAATGTCTTCTTTAACACCTTCCACATTTGCATATGTTTTCTCATTAAGATGGTGTTGCAGTGAATGAAAAGATGTTAATCTGATGGTGCCATATCTGGTGAATATAGTGGGTGTGAGGGAACTTCTCAATGCAACTCTATTATCTTGTGTTGCGTCAAACATGCCACATGTGGATGTGAATTGTTGTGGAGAAGTAGAATACCTTACCAATTGATGAGTGAAGGGTGTTTCTGATGAAGGGCTTGATTTAAACATTCTAGTTGCTGACTATAGATCTCTGTTCCCTGTGGATAGAAGAGTTTGAAATGAATTATTCCTTTGATGTCCCACCAAATGCAAAACATCACTTTCTACGGATGGAGTCCAGGTTTTGGGGTCAGATGTGGTTTTTATCTAGAACTGACCTATTGTTTTTGGCGCTTAATATTCACATAGAGAATCCATTTTTCATCACCAGTGACAATTCTCTCCAAAAATGGTTCATATGCATTATGCGACAGAAGAGACAAAGCTACGTTCACACGTTGGGAACGATGATCATCGGAGGATTTGTGAGGCACCCAAGCACCTTCTTTATGGAGTTTTCCCATATACCTTAGATGTTTACGTATTGTTTCATGAGAGACATGCAATTTCAGGGCCATTTCTCGAGTGTGTTGCCTTGGGTTATACTCAACAAGCGTCTTCCGAGCATCAATATCAGTTCTAAGATGTCTGCCCCTGCCATCACAGTTTTTAAGGCTAAAGTCACCTGAACGAAATTTGCTGAACCATCATTGACATTTACGAATGTTCAAAACATTTCCGTAAACTTCATTGATATTCTTTGTGCCTACAGAGTCACTGTTTCTCTTTTTGTATTCAAACAGCATTACATGCTGAATGTGTGTCTCGTCGTGTGCCATCACTATAATGGATTAGAATATACTAAACTTCACAAACTAATGTGAGATTTAGGCGAGTTGTTTAACTATTATATTTGTGGGTGGTTAATGAAAGTGTTCTCAAACAGTACATTAATTTTTTGATGACCTAATATTTTGAGACTGGGACCAACTCATTCTTAAATATTTATTGTGTACTATTAAATAAACATTGGCTTTTTTAGTTAATACATCTGTGGCATTGAAAACTTACACAAGTGTTGTCCTAATCTTAATTAACAAGTGTTTTGTGTAATTAATTATTTTATTGATTTAGTACATGTAACAAGGGCAGAAAAAATGGTGGCAGCAGAAAAATACACATGTACAGACGAGAAATTTGATATGATAGCTTATTACCAGTACTACCTTCGTTATGGTGTACAACTTACATAAGACTCAAGATTATAATAACATTTATATATTTACAGGAAGAAGGACTGAGATTGCGGATGACCCGAGGAACAACAGAATCTTTGTATGCTAGTCAGAAGCCTGATGCTTTTCAGACTGACAACGTAGGGTCAACTAGCACCACTATTCCCTCAGTAGGATCACAGGATCTTCTTCAACAACAGTCTCCAGTGGTGTTTATAGCTCTCATTGTGGCAGCTTGCGTACTGGGGTTCTTAATGGGCAAGTTCATAGTCTAAAGTTTAATCACAAAGCAACTAAGCCACCTGCCCTTCCACCATACATTGTTTTGCAAGTCTAATGAACTTTGAGGTTGACTGCTATCTAAACTGTTCTCTTTATTATTAAAGTGGCTAATGGGGGACAGACATTGTTGCCGAGATGGTGCTATGTAAACACACTCAGTCTTGATGAAAAGTAAATTAAATTAAAAACAGTTGTTAATTTATTAGAACTAAAAACTTTAATTACATAGCCATTTAATACAGCAGCTAATATTTGCTGAAGTATTGCTATTAGTATCCCACACACACAAATTTGTTCTACCCAAAAAGCATACACAACATGCATGTCAAAGGTGAAAGTAATTAATTTTTTTTTTACATTATCAGTGCTGAATAAAGTACCATTTTATTTGTAGACTTGTTAACCTGTTATTAAATCACAGTATATGTTTTTAAATACTAAAAGTTTAGGATGTCAGGTTAAACAATAAAGTAATAATTTTTTTTGGTTTGATCTAAATAGGTAGCTTACTCTGACTGGAAGTTCATATTATGTAAAATAAACACAAAGTAAGGTAAAACCTTATTTGACTTCTTGGCTTTTATTTTTGAAATGTACAGTTATAAAAAAACAACAACATATAAACAGAGCAAATAGTTTTTATCTTTTATTTTAAAATGTCGAACCCACTCCAAGGTGTAACTTTTTAAGTGAAATGTTTAACATTTAAGTAGTGATCATATTAAAAAGGCAGAAATATCTGATTTGAACATTGTGTAATACTTGTAATTAATTGCTGCTCCTTGTTTAGTAATCACCTCCACAAAAATCATCAGTTTTTGTAAAAGTATTTACAGCTTGCTGGAATTTCTTTATGTTAAACTATCTTGTTTCTGAGAAATGTTAAACTAAATTCATAAGGCATATATATACTTTGTCACACTTTGCATTCTTACCTATTTGTGATGAATTTTTAGATTTAACATAATTGAACAATTGTGGTAGAATAAAGTAGGGAGAAACCAAAGTTTTTTCTTTATTAGGTTTTCAATATTAACTTACTAAACAATTAGTTTTCATCAGTTAGTTAATGATCTTGATGAATAATTGAGAAACAAATACCATATTTACATTTCATGGATAGTACAAAAATATTAGTTATAACTTAATTATATGGCTAGAGGGGTTGGTGGTTGAAGTTAAACGTAGGCTGTTAGAGTGGTATAAATAACAATTGCAAGTCCCCCTACCCCACATCTGATATAGTGATGGTGTTGAAGAATATGTAATTTTTAAACATATTTTGTAGCATTCATTTTGTGCAAAGATTTTTCCAATTGATTAAGAAGTACAGCTTAATTTTAGCATAAGAGCTTTATTTCTGTATAAATAGATGTAATTAGGCCACGAGTGGAATGACGTGTTTGCAGCCTGTCTCTACTAATTTAAAAATAAACTTTCAGAAAGTGTTCTAAGTTAGTGGTTTGATTTTCATTTTTATAAAAAAAACATTACAGAATAGACTAATCCTCACGAGAATATGGCTGTTGTATTAGTGAAACCTGACATGTTTTATAAGAACAGTGAGAGATCATAGAAGAATAGTGGGTATTAGTTTTCTTTTATATATATAAAGAAAAATATGCACTCTAAAAAACCTAATTATGGACAAAATATGAACTTCAAAAGTAAATGTTAAGTTTGTATTTTTTTTTAAAGTTGTGTGTCTGTACATGATGTTAGATGATTTTTTTTATATTATTTTCATGCTTGGGAAGATTTGAAACTTGTTTAAATCTATTTGTTCAATGAGCTGACTTGTAGTTCTGAAAGTTGAAGTTTCAGAGTCAAGTTTATATTTAATTGAAAATATGTAGAAATGGATTTGTACACTGGATGTACGCGTATTGTAGCATTAAATACTGTGTATGTTATGAAGAATAACTGTAACACCTTGGAATATTTGATTTCCTATTAAAGAAATCAGTTGATTTGATTTATTTTTATAAATTTGTATAATTAATTACAGGATCATTTTAACTTGAATGCATAATTTTCAGTGTACTCAACTTAAAAGAAATTTTGTGCAGTAGTTTTATTGAGATTTAAAACATCTTGCTTTCCAAAACACTTCATGTTTTCCCAGAATTCATCACTACTTGTGTGTCCAGCTCTCTAGATCTATTGGCCAAATTTGAACTTGCTAAAAAAAAGTCATATGACATGTTTCTCTATTTGCTAACAGAAAGTTATTCAAGAACATGAAAGTGGCACTGAATGGATGAAGCAACACCTATTAACCCTTTCCAGACCCAGAAGTATACGTGTTGCTGATATATATAGTACCTTGATTTTTTTTCCTTCTCACTGTAGAAATCCGTCACCAAATCACATGAAACTTGTCAAAAACTTGCTAAATAGTATCCAGTTTCAGGCTTAAAAATTTTATGCAATTTGATTTAGGTTTTTTTTCTCACAAAATTTTCAAAACTTTTTGTGAGATAACATAAAATACTTCCTTTCATCTGAGAATTTCAAGTATTTTTTATTGTTGAACAAAAAGTTGCATTTTATATGTTCATTAAATTTCTAAAACAAGACTTCTGAGATACTATTACTGGACATTTTTCATGACAAAAAAGTGATTAAGAACTTGTTCAGTTACATTATTTGTATTCTTCCTGATAACAAATATGCTTAATGAACTGGTTATATCAAATGTGTATTTTTTCACTGGAGAAAAAAATTATAAAATAGCTACATTAGAACAAGCATTTGGAAACATTTGTAAATAAGTTTAAAAAATCATAACATAAGTATACAGGTATTCAAAACAGTAGCTTTTACTAACTTATTTTTCAGAGTAGTATTTAAAAAAAAAGTTAAACTGTCAAAAGTGTGCACGTGGAACACGTATTTTTTGGGCAGTGCAGTAAACTTGTGGATTCAGTTTTGACAGGAGCATTTTGTTCTGAAAGTTTTCTTTCTTAAAATATATACATTTTATAATAAATATACAACTAGGTATAGCCTAGTGGTTAGAATGCATAGTTGTGGATTTGAAGATGTCTAGTTCATGGCATAAAATACTATTAAACATGATCTTCCCTTTTGACTCTGGGATATTATAGCTGTGATGATTAGTTCTACTCTTTGGCTAAGGGTTGTGATGTAATCAGCAAGTGCTGCCAATGCCTGCATTTTTTTTAAGGTGTCATTAAGGTTAAAAATACCAAATTTACACATATACACAGCCTACCATTAACTAAATAAACATCCACTCCAGAAAGAATACAATTTTATTAAATAAACAAACTTGAAGCATACAAGATTACAATTAGTATTTTGTGGATCTGCCTTTTGTACTACATGTTTACACTTTGTATGTACAATAATTGAAACATGGGTCTGTTTAATTGCACTTCACTCACTGCATCTTAAGAATTTGTATGACATTGTTCATAGAAGTTTGGTTTTTTAGATGCTTTCACAGGAAACAAGATTGACCACACATGCTTTACAGGGTCAATATCTGACAATTGGCTTGGCAAAGGGAGAGTGGCTCTGACCTTTGAGACATCACATTTTGTAATTCGAGGTGCATGAACTTTCATGAATCACTGCCATGTCTGATAAGCTGTTCAAATGGCATGGACTGTGATGTATCAAATAGCAGTGACTGTCCCTTGGTATAACATCAGCTTTGATTGTCCAGCTGCCCAAATTGCACCCCACATCATACACAAATACTTCTGTATTTTGCCATGACCTTCAGGCAATTCAACAAAAGTTCCAGGGAGGATAGTCGACAAATCAGGACAGGTTCAATGTCTAAGAAATGTGCAAATCTGGACTCCTTGGCAAAAGATTGCTGTGTCCCAAAAGGCAGGAGGGTGTGATAGTATCTGTAAAATCCACTACTGTCAAAGAATGATACTGCCTGGAGTGAGGAGTAGCTTCCATCTAACTTCTCTGCCATTTCAACCCATACAATGAAGGTAATTTATGAAAGTATTGGGGTACACTTGCACATGATCAGCAATAGTAGTGGCTGCTTGATGCGACTCATTCTCTACCCTTCTCCTCATAACACGATTAATCCACCCTGTTGTTTTGTGATGCGACTGAAACAGTATTGTTATCTTATTCACTGTAGAAAGTGGGATTGAAAATCATCTGGTAATTTCCCATTTTGATTGCATTCCCTAGTCCAACTTTGCAACTTAATGAAAATATAAATGATCAGAATCCTTGTGTTTGTCACATAGTTATTTGTATTCTTTGGTCTTATTAACCTACAACTGTATTTATACATCAGGGTTATTTTTATATGACATCATGAAGATGGTTGAATTGTATACTTGGGAGTTTCTGTTTACTTTTTGGAATGCAGTTTAAATATCTTTTTGATTGTATTGACAAAACAAAGGGTAATAAGACTTTTAACAGTAATTTTCAAGAATGTTTAATGTATAAAAAAAAAGCTAAATTTTTAAACAAATTCTGAGAAATTGTTTTTAGTGTATGAACAACAGTTTTAGGTTACAAGAACTACATCTACCAAACCCAATAAAAACAAAATAAAAACTATCAGTTCCTTTGTTTTTCACACCTTATGAATGGTAAACTATTATTAATTTTGTTAAAAGTAAATTGGGTTATTTTAAATGAAAATTGTTAAAAAGATAGTTTAATTTTGTATCTTCATTATACGAGATAAAAATTTGCTTAATTTAGATAGACTGATGAGCCATAGTAATATTACTTAGTTATCTAGTCACTGTTAAGATAAAAAAAAGTAACAGTAACAACCCAATAGCATTTCTGTCACAGATAATTTAAACACCAAATAGACCCTTTGGGTTTTCAATGAAATAATGTTCTGCTTGATGATATAATAGTTCCAACTGCAAAGATATAACATTTATAACAATCGGACTTGTTTAGTTAGTTATGACTCGTAGTGTTCATCATTAATTTTGCTAGTCATTCCATGAAAGCTCAACCAGTATATGTTTCACCTTCACAGATTTTAGTTTATTTGTCTTCAGTATATAATTTTGGCATCCTAAGCCCATTATTATGAGCTACGGTTACTTAAAATAGAGAAGGTTATGCTATATACACCAATATTTGAAGTCTTGCATAGAAATATCTATTCTACTAACTTCAATTTTCATTAATTGATAAAATCATTTAAACAAAAATATCCATACCCACATTCGTGACACAGCCACAAAAAACAGCAAAAAAGCAATTTTGAGAATTACTATACAAACCTCATATGAAGTTTGAAGGTAAAATACATGGAACAAATATTTCTAGAATGGACAAATTTAAAATTTATTAAAATGATTGTTATATAATTTGTAAAACTGTTATGAGTTTCTGTTCAAGTAACTGCATTTAGTTTTTTTTTATGTGGGGGAGGGAAGAAACATTTGCAAATATAAGTAATCCAGATTTAAAAAGCCTTCCTCTCTTGAGGGCCGAGTAGTAAGTCTGAGGGCTTATAAAGCTAAAAAACATGTTTCAATACTTGCACTGGCCACACACGCACAAATAACCACATTTATATGTACATCCATATTCTGGGACTCAGGTTAAGTAAACTGTTAGTTATACTCAATGACTTGTGTGAAAAGATCTTACCTGTGAAGAAAGTATTAAATAAAGTACCCATAGTCATTTCTGAAACAGTAATCCTCATACTAAAACATAAATGTAAAGCCCAATCTATCATTCAATTTACCACTTGACAATTGAATAATTCACTAGAATAAATTAGCAGCATCAATGAGGTATATTCTTGATATTCCTAGATAAATATAGAATTAAGGTGCAAGTAAATAAGCTTAGAAGATAAATCAACTGCTCTTCCTACATCAAGAAATGATGACTATTACAGCTCCATAATATGCAATACACTGTATTCCATTTAAACCTGATACTTAGGCATACATCCTTCTCAAGAATTCACAGCATCATACACTTAAAGGAACAAAAATATATATGTATAAGTCATCTTCTATTTAGCTCGGTTTGTAACTTGTTTCTAGTTTGCACGGTACTTCTGTTCTATTGAGTTAAGATGTGTTTTTAGATTACTTAATGGATCTGAAAGGTTTCACTTTAGTCTCTTAATTGTTAAAGATGATTTGTTATTTTTGAACTGTAATGGCCCAAACAGCTTTCTTTCATCCACTGTAGGTGATTTCAAGACTTTCTCAACTTGTGTACCCATGTTTAGTAAAGTCTAGTAGTGTTCCTGTATTTCATTTCATTCATTAAGGCACATTTTATTATTATTATATTTTATAAATAATTTTGAAATAAAAAAAAACATTTTTATGTTTCACTACGTTTTGTCCTGCAGTCCCCTATGATTCCTCTTGTGACACACTATAAGGTCTTGATTATAGTTTGAGATCTACTGATCAATTGTGTCTAGTTCTTGGTATACACATACTTTGTAGCATGTTAGTGAGAAAAAATTTAATCTTGATACTTGTAACCATGACAACTATCATTTGATAAACATGATGTCAAACTTCCTTTTTAGAGTTTCAGTTAAATTCTTCTACAAGGCATAAAAGTTTATGGCATTATAATCAAAACTAAGATTTATGAACATTTCTTACATCTTTCATATTTAACATCACTTTGTGCCTGAATTTCTATTGCACACCTGTGATATCTTGTTGTAATGTATTCTGTGGACTATTTTTGGATTATTAATTTGATAAAAATAATGAAAATCCAGTCCATGCAACAATGAATTAATTTACTTCTTCAATAATATTTGCCATACACTATGTTAACTTGACACAAGTTATAGGGCTAAGTTCACAAACAATGTTGCAACAGAAATCTTAAAAGATAAGGTAACCTTACTTACTTAGCTTTCAAGTTAAACAAATAAATTAACATTCTGACTCATCAAATAGCAGAATAGATGTGATAATTCTTACTTCTAACACTCAATAATGTTTCCGAGACAGAACTGACTCGATGATCACCGATTACTCATACTTATACCTTTGTTCTTACATATCACAAAAAACACCTCAACTCTTAATCTTCATGAAATTTATATATTTTGACACCATTCATCTAACAAACATCTCAATTAAATGATTAAGAAACAAAATTTGAAAGGACAGCAAATTCCTAATTCAAAGTGACACTTGAGAAGAAAGTCTTGGAGAATCTACAAATATAGCTCAAGTGGAAAGGACAAAGGGAACTCTGTAAACCACATTGTCTTTTACTGCCTTTCCTTCTGGATTCTGTAAACCACATTGTTTTTTTCATTAGAATTTCTAGACCTTCCCAACAACTGCTTAACTTTTGGGGTTTGTCCACTTTTGAGATTGGAATCATACAGCCATACCAATATTACCTCAATGAAATCCAGTCTTATCAGCATTAACATCATAGCATCTTTTCATATTATTAGTAGCTGATTTAAGTCTTTCCTAGGTAAATGTATGTATGACATCAATGGCGTCCCTTAGTCTCTGTGTAAGATGCTGTTGACTGAATACAAAAGTACTGCAGTTGGCCATGTTCTTTCTTTCATGAACCTATTTGCTCACAGCACAGTTCATGATATACAAAAATTCTCTGTAGATCAAAAGCACCCAACCCAGCGGATGAGTTCTCTTTTCTCTCCAGTGTCTTCTTAACAACTAAGCGTCCAGCTATTGGAAGATAATGGAGATGATAAAATGCTTTGTAATGTAGATACTGTGGAAGTACCAAATGTAAATATTGTTTCTTTTCACTGGTATCTTCTCATTTTTCACATAACAAGCCCTCTGATAAGCATAATGAGCTCCACTGTGTCCAGCATATCTTTGTTACCAGGATGTATGGAGTAACAGTTTGCCATATTAGTTTTACTGCACTATTCTACACTCACCGAATAGCTGGTTTCAAACTCGTATCTTTTGCCTGAGCATCTCTGAGTGTTGAACCATATTTGGTCATCATTCCTGGTATATGTCACATCTTGAACTATACTCTGTTGTAGTTTAAGTTATCTTTACTGTCTTGTATTTCACTCTTTTCAAAAGGTATACATTCTTCATTAACACATGGTTTTTTGGATAATGCTAAAGCACAGTACTTTTGAAGTTTCTGGAACCACTTTGCTATCTGGCCTTCTGGATTGTGAAAATTTACCAGGCACTTCAATGCCACATGCTCTGTCTGTAGTGTAAACCTTTGTCGATCTAGGTACTGATGGAAATGACTTAGGGCTCAAACAACACTTAGTAACTCTTTCTGAGTGGTGCAATACCTCCTTTCCGTAGCATTCATTGTCTAGCTATAGTAAGCAACCACATATTCTTTTCCATGTTGTAATTGTGATAAGACTTCTCCTACTGCAAAATCACTAGCACTTGAATCTAAAATGAGTGGATCTTTAAGATGATGGGTATACTAATACAGGAGTAACAGTTAATTCTTTTTTAATTTATTGAATATTTGTTCACAAGCAGCAGTACAACAAAACTTATTCAGTTTTTCAAGTAATCTGTGTAGGGAACGAGCTACCTCAGAGAATGATTTTACAAAACGATGGTAGAAAGAGCACAGTCTAAGAAATCCTCTTACCCCACTCAGGTTCTTTGTTGTTGGCAGGTTCAATCTTAAATGGGTCTGTAAACATTCCCTCTCTACTGACTGTGTATCCTACAAAACTCACCTGTGGACAAAACAATTCAAACTTCTTGGGATTTAGCTTAAGGTTCTCTTTCACTCAACCAACTCAGAATTTTCCCAAGTCCATCATAAGAATCATCAAAGGTCTTCCCATGTGTAATTATGTCATTCAAGTAGATGAGTATGATGTTCCAGGGTAGTTCAAAAGAAAGTGGATCCAATAATCATCGAGATGTAGCAAGTGCATTACTTAATCCAAATGGTAACACAACAAATCAGCACAATACATTTCCTGCAGTAAAGACTGTCTTTTCTCCATTTGCACTTTCCAATATCCACTCTTCACATCCAATGTTTAAAATAATTATGATCCAGATGAAGCATTCAAAGTAGTGTCAATCTTTGGCAGTGAATAGGCACTTCTTTATGATATACAACAAACCTTGTAGATCTTTCTTTCTTTATAAGTATAACAGGTAATTCCCCAAAATAAATACTCAGTTCTATTACTCCTTTTTCCTTCGTGGCTTCTATCACTTTCAAAGCCTCAGCCTACTTCGCAAGTTGGAGTCACCTGACTAACTCGAAGTCAACAACCCTTCTAAGACCAAAACATTTAGAGGGCTGCAATATGCCATAACTATTAACCTACAAAAAAGAAAGGTTACCCAGTGGGACAGTAGATAAGT